GGTCCAAAGCCTGGAAGGAGTGGTAGTCAATTGGTGCAAGGTCTAGGGAATACGGTGGATGACAGGGAGTTTCCAAGTCTAGCTTCTGTAGTTTGAGCAGCGCTGTTTGTACGACATGTGGTCCAGCATTGTCTTGCAAGAGGATTGGCCTGTCTTTATTGACCCATGTTGGCTGCTTAATCACAAGCATCCTCATCATTTCATCTAATTGGTTGCTATAGACATCCGCTGTAATCGATTGACTAGGTTTCATGAAGCTGTAGTGGATAATACCAGCGCTTGACCACCAAACAGACACCATTAGCTTTTTTGGATGAATATTCGGTTTTGGACTGTGCTTTGGCACTTCATCTTTATCCAGCCATTGTGCCAAATGCTTGCGATTGTCAAAAGAATCCATTTTTCATCACATGTAACAATATGGTGTAGAAATGGTTCACTTTTATGTCTTGACAGCAATCAAAGGCAATCTTTGAGACAATTTCTCTTCTGATGCTTGTTTAATTCATGTGGAGCCCATCTATCCAGCTTGTTTACCTTGCCCATTTGTTTCAAATGGTCCAATATTGTTGGAATAGTAATGTCAAACCTTGCTGCTAATTCACGTGTAGGCTGAGGTGGATTCGCTTCCACTACAGCTTTCAGCTCATCATTGTCCACCTTGGTCTCAGGTCACCCATGTGGCTCATTTTTAAGATTAAAATCACCAGAATAGAACTTCTAAAACCATCGACTTACTGTGCATTCATTAGCCACAGCCTTCCCAAACATTTTGTTGATATTTTGAGCTGTCTGTGCTGCACTGGTTCCATGATGGAACTCATATTCGAAAATAACACAATTTTTGACTTATTCTTGGTTTCATAAAAATTGCTCTAAAAAAACCTCAAAGATAATCACAAGCCAAAATGTGCATTTGAAAGACTGAGGATGTACCTTCACAATAAAAATAAAACAAAGTGTCAAAGTGAAATGTCAGAGATAGCAATTGTCAAACTTAGTACTTAAGTAAATCAGACATTTTGTACTTAATAACCTAACACAATTACACATAATTATATATATAATAT